GATGATCACCAGTGGTGATAAATAGCAAACTTCAAAAATAAAGTAATCAAATAATACATAATAATAATAATAATAAATGTTTACTCCATTATTATCAGTCACCTAAGATTTCAGCTAAAAAACATTCTAATAATTTATTAAGATATGTACAAAAGTTTAAATTTTGCAAAATTCAAATTAGAAATTTTGATCTGGATACCATATGTATATTTTAATCTTCTAATTCTCTCCACCATGATCTCAAGCACATTGCAGCTCGTACGGTTTTTCCATCCAATTTATTTCGCTTGCTAGTTAACATATCACCACTAATGCTGAATGTTTGCTCACTTGGAACACCTGTGGCAAGTATTGAAAGGCAATCCCTAGCAAATTTTGCAAGATTCAGATAACAATTTTCATTTTTCTAAAATATCTGCATGCTCATCTACAAGTGGTGCCATTAAATATATATCAAGTTCATTTTGCCGTTCTGTACGTGTTCATTTATAGGTTCGTGATATGATACTTTGAGATAGTTTTGCAGTTGAGCTTGCTGCTTCCTGATTGGAGATGGAGAGGGGCACATACTGATCTTCATATTTGTTTTTAATGCTTAAAATATTATATAAATTAGTACATTTATTATCAAAGTATTCATTAATTAAGCTTATAATAGCAAAATAATAATACTATTAATTCTAAACCTGTCCACTTTAAGTAATCTTATTTGTTGAATACTATACACTAAACTCGAAATTTAAAGAATATTTTCACTAATTCTAATAACCAGAAAACATCTATTTATATATGGTATGTAATTACTTTTCTGGCAGTATCGTTGCTTTCTGGGTTCAGATTTGAGTAATTTAAGCTTGCATATAGTTTATATCTTGTGATAAGTTTCTCACAGCCATAATGTAAGAGCACTCTTGGAATAATTTCTAACTACATTAAATTTGCAATTAACTCATCATATCATTTTATTTATCAACATGTTGCTCTATGACTTCTTAACGCAAGTGCATTATGCGATTTTATTTCTAAAATTTAAAAGAGATTCTTCGTACGTGTTCATAAATAGGGGGTTTTTTTAATTTATGTATTGCTTCGATCGATTTCTAATGATTTGTTTAAGCCTGCAAGAAATTCGTAATAAGATGGTCCACGTCCTTTAATATCAATTTATTAATTGGATCACTTTTTGGTAGTTATTTTAGTTCCATATATTCGCATCTTACGCATTTTTTTTTTTTTGCCTTTTTCTATTTACGGTTCTCAATGTTTCTGCAAGATTTGATTAAAGTTTAATGATTTATTTATACCTGCTAGTGATCCTTTAAATTATTCATCTCAATAGGTTGCACTATGATTTCTTAATGCAAATACACTATCCTGGTCAATTTGGAATGCTTTATTCGAATGATTCTTCAGATCTACTTATTATACATTAAGTTTCTCCATGACCTCTTAGATAAGTGCATACTTCCAATGACCTATGCTACACACTATAATATCTCCAATTTACAGCGTTCATGTATTATTTGGTTCAAATCCTAATGTGACAATTTTCATATTTGCTCATTTCATGATAAGCTGCTTTATGAAAACTCCAATAGAGGTTCTACTGTACTTAAATTTAATCACACGATAAGTTTGTTCTTTCCATAGTCGGCTACTTTCATTTTCGAACATGTCAACTACCATCAATTTGCAAGTTATTTTATGATACCAAAATCACATGAAAGATAATATATAAATATATATATACAGTATATATATATACATATATACATATATATACAAACTAAGATACTAAAAGGGCAGATGTTATAGCTTTAATAGTATTAGTACATTATTATAAATATATATATATTCAATGAATATTCAATAAGTATATCAGATATTCATTTAAAATTTTTAACTGATATTCAGTTATAAAAAAAAAAAAGAAATAACTAGATTTAGACTAATCAGATCTCTAATCATTATATAAATACTTACATATTTCTAATTTGATTAATAAGTTAAGACGACCATTTAAGTTCTTTGAAGTATTGCATTTTAAATCGTGGATCTAGCACGACTGATGCAATATGTAAAACACTTGTTCTTTGGCAATATTCCAGAAGTTTACCAGATGCAGATTCACACCCTTGCTTAAGCCATTGTGGCACATAATCTTTTTTTTAGCTTCTTCAAGTGATTCAAGCAATGAATAATAGAAAGGAATAACCATTGACAATGTTGGATATTCTGACGACGACATAAACCTAGTCACTAAATTAAATTAAACTGAGGTAAATGTTATGCTCTATAGCATTTCATATTACATATTTTTTTTGATTACAGTCAACTTTTTCTATAACTGACTGACGGTTCTGAGAAAAAAAAGGTTATTATAGAAAATTGCTATCTGTTTTAAAGACCCATGATGCTTTCTATGCCGAACCATTATGAAATTTTAAATTATGAGTTCGTTACATCTAGAATTCGTTATATAAAAGTTCATTATCTCTATAAAAAAATTGGTCTGTGTTGTAGCACGTGTTGGTTTCGAAAAGGCATGAAATGGTACAGATATACGACACATATATGCACATTTTATTATCAAAAATGATACGGAATTTACAGCAAACGGTGTGCATATGTATGTTGTATGTACGTACGTGATGGCATGTCTTATTGTTCGTATCAAACTATGCCAAAAACCATGCCAAATAGACTAGTAAAGTGCTACAAAACCCGAGTCATTGACGGTCCATCTGGCATGTACATACAGTCCAACACAAGACACAAATCCGTGCCAACTCGAACATTTTACAAATAAATCTGATTCTTATCCATGCCACCAAAATCCATGCCATTACGATGCCAACCTGTGCCATTTTTCTTATAGGGTATATTCAGAGTTGACCATACATCTATATTGAAAATATACTGACCATCCTTGAAAGGTAATAAAACTTCAACAAGAAGTTCTATCATTTTCCACTCATTATCGACCAAAATATATTGATGTAATTCAGTTTCGGAAAAAGCCGTCGCATTCTACACTGTATGCAATTTTAGTGCCCGCTCACACATATCAAAGGTAGAGTTCCACCGTATTACTACATCAAGAATCGGCTTTAACTCACTAGATTGCTTTAACGTTTTACGGCGTCTTCGTGATCCTCTGATGCTTTTTATCAATCCACGCAACTAAAATAATAATAAAAAAAAAGAAAAAAAAATATAACTATAGCCTCATGAGGATCTTACTTAGAGTCAGCACAAAAATGTTCTAACATATATTCACGTAACTAGGTACTTCGACCCATTATTGAACAATAAAATAACATAATACAAATAAATCATGTAATACAAGTTATACAAAATATTAAAATTAATATAATAACCTTTTCAACCTCTTTTCCTGCAACTTTTAATATACACTGAACAGCGAGATTTAAGATATGATTAAAGTATCGTATTGATTATAGAACCCGTCATTAGAAAAAAATTACGCAAAAATTTTTTATTGAAGGTTGCATTATCACAAGTTATAGACATTAATTTTGAAAGTATCCTATTTTCTTGAAGACAGTCTTTCATAGCCTTTGCAATTTCAATACCCGTATGTGAATCCTCCATCAAAATAAAATCAAGTAGAATATGTTTTATTTTCTATGATTGATTTAGATAATGGATCGTGACAGTCATAAATGACTTTTTATTAGTAGAAGTTGTCCAAATATCAGTGGTAATGGCTATACGTCCAGGAACATCCTGTAGTTTGTTTTTAAGTTGTTCACGCTCTTCATTAAAATTATTCATAACATGCCGTTTTATGAGATCAGCAGAAGGTACTAAAAAAAACCCCTTAAGTATTTACATTTTACTATAATATTACTACATATTAAATATATTTTTACCAACCGCATTAGGTTTTAGATAAGTAAATATAAACTTAAGTTCATCGTCTTCAATAATTTGAAACGATCAATTGTGTTTTACGATCCACCTTTTTACCATATTGGTAAATTTTTGTTGATTGAACAGTTCACGTTTGCGGGCTTTATTATTTAACATTTCCAAAACTTAACACTCTTCTTTGGTTCATTTAGTTCAGACACTTTGCCTTTATGTCTCTTGAGGTGTCTTAAAAGGTTTGACATCGTCTCATCATTATAGACCAACATTTTGTTACAAATATCACATGTGGCATTGCCTTTTGCCTTTTTAAAATACAACCATACAATGAATCTATAAAATAAAATGTAGATAAATAAAAAGTCAATGAATATAAAGTATTTAAGTGAAACTTCACATATGTTACCCATCATTTTTAGAGGTTTCATTATAAGTTGAAGACCCCACTTGGGATGATGATTCATTTGAGTAAGATTTGTCTTGATATGGGTCACCATGGTATGATTCATCTTGGTATGATTTAACTTGATTCAGGTAAGGTTCATCTGTATACAAATCATCTGAGTAAAATTCTCCATGATACAAGAATGAGGGCCTGCTTTCTTCAAATTCGCCAAATTCATTTTGAGAATGTGACTTAGTTGACATTGGAGTGGTTTAAGTGAAAGATTTTTAATTTTAATGTAAAAATAACCAACTTTTCTAAGCGCATATTCTTTAATATGAGCTATAATAAGGAAAACACTCACCATAATAACAAGAGCCAACGAAGAAATAAATTGATAAAAAAAAAAAAAAAGAAAAAGAAAAAAAAAAAAACTAGTAGTGCGAATTTTTTTTTCTAAACATATGGTGCAGGAAATCTAGAAATCTCAATCACTTTATATAGAATAAAGACAACTAACTCATTAAAGATAAGCTGAAATTACCATTCTCAAAGAACTACCAAGTTAATAATATGAATATAAATGGTCTGCTTTTAGGTATATTTTGTTATTGGTGTATTATTCTATGCAAGGAGGTTGAAAATCAAGAATCTGCATTTTATAATTCAGAAAATCTATTTTCAATGATACTAATTTATACTTACGCACTTCTTGTGCCGTATGAGTTTCGTGCAAGTTTTTTTTTTTCTAAACGCAAGTGTGTACAGTCAGATCTCGATATAATCACCAGGTTGGGAACCAAAATTTTGGTGATTATAAAAAGTTGTGACTATATGAAGGTCAAAATTTATATATTTTATAATAGCAAGGTCAAAAAAATAGTGTGATTATAACAAGGTTGTGACTATATCGAGAGTGACTATAACAAGGTCTGACTGTATATTATGTATATGTAATATCAAGTGCGGCTTTTTATATTTTCAAGTGCTGCTTTTTAAAAAAAGGCTGTAATACGTAAAAGAAAAAAGTTTTTTTTTGTATGTGCCTTTCTCAGGCTTTTTTCTCTCATGCTTTATTTCATGCTTTCTTATATTTTTTCACACGCTTTCTAAAAAAAAAATGCAAATTTTAAAATGCGTGAGAGTGAAAGCCTGGAAAAAGATTTAATGATTTACTATGTTTGGTTACAGGTTTTCACTCTTATGCACTCAAATGCAGGTTTTTGTGACATTTATCGTTATTATTAAATTACATTTATAGGTCTTTAGTTATTTTAGACCGAAATGCAAAAATGCTATCCTTTGTTCATTCTGGGCAATAAAACTTTATTGAAAAAACAGCCAATCAACGTACAGCATTATAATGAACCGGACCGGGTGGACCTAACATGAGTCCGAATCTGTATTGTTCTTGACAAATCAAGGATCTGAGTCCAGTTCGTTGGACAGACCAGACCGGATCTTTTGCGAAACACTAGTTAGGATGTTTGTTTTGTAATTTTTATGTTTTTATTTGTTTTTTTTTTTGAAAGTTTTTTACTGGGTATGTTTAGTTATTTTTTTTTTTATATATAATTAATAGGTAATAATGATGATTGTTATAGTAATATATTATCAATAGGGCAGTGTTTATTTTTTTTTTGTGTTTATTATTGTCGTATTATTTTTTATATTTTTTATTGTATAATTCAATTGTTATGTATGTAATAATTTGTTGGTATATACGGTAACCTTTAAGGCTATAAGTTTTTATTCAAGAATTGTATTATTGATTTATGTAATTTTGATTGTTTTAATGATATGTGGTTAGTTGGTGTTATTTTTTTTTAGTATGATATAAATGTTAGATCATAATTTGGTGCTATCTGTGAATTTTTTTATTTTGCATTGTTTTTTTTTGTTTTTGTTAATTTTGTTGTATTTATTTAAACTGAGTTATTTGTATTTTTTTTTGGAGTTTAGATCTTGTGTTCATTTTGTTGATTTTTTGGTATATTTATTGATTATATATTTGTTAGTATGTTTTTAAATTGTTGCTTTAGGTAATATTTTTATTATGTTGATTTGTGAGTTATTTTTAATCATTAAAATTATAGGTTCTTCAATGCCTTGTTATACTGATACAATTGTAAGAATTAAGTATGTGAAACAACACGTGAATAATAAAGCAAATTCAGATTTGTTGGTGGTATGGGCTCTTGGTGCTTATCCGGTTGAATGTGAAGATTATGATATTGAGTTGGTTCTTTTTGTGCTGGTTAATTCAAGTGATAAAGATTCTGAAAACCAAGCTATTTTTGAGAAAGATAATTTTTATTCTGTTGGAGGCAAGATTGTGCCCGGGTTTTATAGTAGTAATAAAAGGGCGAAGGTATGTTTTATGTGTTTGTTGTTGTTTATAATTATTATTTATTTTTATTTATTTATTAAATTTTTTTAGATGATGGTTTCTATATCTACTCATATAATGATTCTTAATAAGGTTGTTGAGTCGAATAAATGTCCATTAAAGATTTCTTTGATCAGGGTTCCTCAAGATGTGCCTAATGAAGTTAAAGATCATATTATTATTAATATTCTTATAAGTAATTATGTGAGTCAGGAATGCAATTTTAATATGTAAGTTGTTTTTCCTTCACATAATTTACGTTTGACGTATTTGAAGAATAAGATTTGTCCTCAAGAGTCGTTAATCTTTGTAGTTGGTCAGATGGAGATTATTTCTAATGAAATTTACATGTATGCTAAAGATGTTAATTGTGTTGATGTTGATTTTATTGTTAAGAAAAAATGGTCTGAAAGTAGTTATTTTCAAAATTTTTTGGTATCTCATAGTAGTGTTCAATCTAAACTTCTGGTTACTCATTAGAATATTAATGATAATTTCAAAGATAGTATTGATCATAATATTACTGATAATTCAAAAGATATTACTGATAATTCAAAAGATGGATTTGAATATGAAAGTTTAGTTTCAGTTAGTTTAAGTGATTCTGTTGATAAATCTGAATCGTGTTCTCATTTGTCAAAGCGCATGCGAAGTAATAGTCCTGATGATTTGGTTAGTACTGAGTATTTGGAGTGTAGAACTCATAATTTTAAAAATAACAAAGTAAGTGATTTTCATGGTGAAGAGTCCAGTGAATTATCGAAGAAGAAGGTTATGCATAGAAAGGATAAGGAATGTGCAGATTGTTTTTTATGTAGTAGTTTGAGGTCTTATAGTTTGAATATAGATACTGCCAAGGAGAATAAGTGATATATTATTATTTTTTTGCTTTTTTTTTTTTTGCTTGATTTCTGTATATGTTATGTACATATATATTATTTTTATTTATTTTATTTTATTTTATTTTTTTTTGCTTGATTTTTGCATGTATATATATGTTTATTTATTTTTATTTAGTTAAATTTAGTAGACTGTTGCTAACTTGCCCCCGTGGTGATGTCACCCAGAGTACGATATCTCAAAAATCTACTAGCTAACACATGTCAGGGGTACTAAGCAAAAATGTTCAGGACCTCCAAAAACCTAACCCTTACTAAAATTTGGACCTTTATATCTAGCCTTTATTTTTTTTCAAAACTGCACTCTAACCTTAAATTTTGATAAAAATTAAAGGCGGTGACATCACTACTGGTTAAAAATAGTTATAAACAATTTAGTAAATATTTTATCAATTTTTATTTATATATTTAGTGTGTTAAAAATTGTTTTATTTAAAAAGTGTGTACAATGTATAATGGTAGTATAAATTTGTGAAAGTAGATCATTTATAAGTTTTAATTGTTTAGAATTTTTTTATATACCACATTTCGGGTGTAAGTACCTTTTTTACTGAGAATAATACTATCTTTTACAAATACTTTGATATTTCGATAAGATTTTGCTAGTGAAAAGGTTACGTAAAGTTGGCTGTGCATGAATACATATTCAGGTAGGTAAAGTCCTATATGTGAAATAGTTTGACCTTGCGATTTATTGATTATCAAGGCGAAAGCTAGTTTAATTGGAAATTGTTTTCTTTTTAAAATGAATGGTAGTTTGATGTTGTTTGAAGAGATGAATGGTATTCGGAGGAGGAATACTTGTTTTCTTTGATGACTTCTGATAGTTATTTCTGCTTCAATGACATTGTTATTAAATGTTTGACATATTAGTCTTGTGCCATTACAAAAGCCATTGAGTGGGTCTAAATTACAAAGTCATATAATGGGTGTTAATTTTGAGATATAGTTTATGTTGAGAAATATCAGCCATAGTAATTGAGTTGAGAAATTCTTGTTGGTAAAGATTATTTTTGTCATTAGGAACAGAGTCAAAACTTTTGTATGTTATGTTATTATCCGGTAATTTTTCTAGGATTATATTATTAATGTAGTCAATATATTCATTTTTTGTAATGAGTATGGCTCTGTTAGTGATGTAAGAGATTTCTGAAGAGTTGAAAGTGATGTGTGGATATATTTCTTTAATTAGAGTTTCCAAAGAATTTTCATTATACCAATCGATTATTATGTGATCCAGAATTCGAATCATACTATTATTTATTGTTGGTTCAGTTCTATTTCCAATTCTTTGTAAGAGATTTGTTAATGCATTAGCTTCAGAATTATTTTCAATTCTCATATTTTGATAAAGATGAAAAATTTTTATTGTAGACCATAAAGGCGAAAATTTTAATGTTGCATTTATGATTTGGGCACAACTTCCTCGAGGAACTACTGGTAAAATTTGGCAGAAGTCCTCGCCAAATACAAATACTTTTCCTCCAAATAGAAGATTACATCCTATAAGGTCTTTTAAAGTTCAGTCTAAGGCTTCTACTGAGTAGCAATTTATCATAGGAACCTCATCCCAAATTATTAATTTGGCAAGTTTTAATAATTTGGCTAAATTGCTTTGTTTACTGATAGAGCAGGTTGAATCTTTATTAATATTTAGAGAAATTTTGAACTTTGAGTATGCAGTTCGTCCTCCAAGTATGAGTAATGCTGCGATACCTAATGAAGCTGTGGCGATTGCTATTGAAAAGGTTAAGCAAATTTTTGCGAGTAAGCAAAGATACAAGAATGTTTTTCCTAAGCCTATATTAGTTATTATAGGTAGAGTTTATGAATTTAGTTTTATTTTGTTGTAATTTAAGTTATTTAATTAATTGTTAATAGTTGAGTGATATTATTGTTTCAAAAAGTAATAGTTGTGTAATATTCTTGTTTTAAAAGGTATAAGTTATTTATTCAAATTAATTTTTTAAAAAATTTTTATTTTTGATATACCTGCAGGTCCATTGACAAAGATCACGGCTGGTTGATTTTTTTCAATATAATTTATAATGGTATTGAATACTAATTTTTGTTTTTTATTTAATAATTCTATTTTTGCAAGGTCTTCATTAGTTATAGGAATATTTAGTTCATTTAAGATTATTCTAGGTAATTAATCTGGTATGTTATTATCAAATAGGGTATATTGAATTCATTCAAATATCTGTAATGTTGTTCTAAAAAATGATTTATATGATGAAGGACAGCATTCACTCAGAGATAATTGTTAGGAATTCCCTTTCTTGCGAAGTCTTCAGACATAGCATTGAAATTTTCATTCCACAAAGTTCAAACATTATTCGGTTCTCCAAACAGTAATATCATAGCAAATAGTTATCTGAGTGATGAAGGCATTCGAAACTGAGCAGCTTCTTTCATTGTTTCATTATATATTTTTTCTGTTTTAATAAGTTTTCATTTTAATGCACTTTCTCTGAATGTTGTGTATTGATAATTATTAATAGTTTTAGATTAGTAAATGACGTGGCATCTCTAATATTATTCAAAAGTATAGTAGGTAATATCATTCTTCTTTACTTGGATTAACTGTATATATTCTTCTAATTACATTTCCTTGGTGTCATTTTGTCCATTTCATTGCTGTTTTGTTCCATACGTAATACTAAGGAAATTCACAATATAAGTATTTTCAAGCTTCTGAATCAGTTTGATTCATTTTGAATATTTAGTTAGCATTGTTTTTTGATTTTGTCTATTATTAAGGACATTATTTATGTCAGATTCTTCTGAAAATGTTATGGTATGTTGGTTGGGGAGGTGAATTTGTAGACGTAATACTGATGGATTAATGTTAGAAATATTAAAGCCAAAAATTCTCCAATATGCTTCTGAGGCAGAGATCCATTAAGTATCCCAATATTGACTGATTTCATCTTTATCTTTATTAGAAACTTGAAGAATAGTATAATCATGACCTTTATATATGTATTTATATAAATATTTTACTGATTTAATACTTGAGTATATTTTAATATTAATGTGGCAATCGAACTTAAAAGAGAGGTAAGGATTATATGGAACAATCTAGCAATTATCTATTTTTGCATTTTTTATTAATACATGTTTTCCATTTTTACGTCTATGGTATATTGAGTATGAATCATCACCTTCTCTCATTTTTTCAATGAATTCTTTTGGATAATGTTTACAATATGCTCCTTCTTTCACACATAGAGCTTTGTGATTAAAGGATCCACATGGATCGTGAATCATAAAAGAAGTTACAGTTTTATATAATCTGAGTTGTTTAATAGGATCAGATAGTTCTGCAGACACAATATTGTAATAATCATTTGCTCCATGAAGTTTATCATTGGGATGAAATATTAATAATAAATGGGCATAAAGAAACCCGCGGTTTTGAAATTCCACTACATATATATGAGCTGTTATCTGACAAAAAATATTTCTTTCAAATAGATCTTTTTTTAAGTCTTGTAGTTTTGCGCAGAAAATTCAAGCTCGAAAAATTAATGTTAATATAATAATAATAAAGTAATTAAATTATTTTTGAATATTATAAATAAATTTAAATAAATAGTATTGGTAAATGTTATGAAAAGTAAGGTTAACAATGTTAATAAGTCAAATTAATAAAATAATAATTAGAGTCAAATAAATAAAATTAAATTGTAATATAAACAGTAATTTAATGATGTTAATTAGTGATTAATAAAAAGAAATTAAATAGTAATATAAATAGTAATTAATAAAAAAATAGATTGAATAATAGTATATGATAAAATAAATATATAATGTTAGTAAGTCAGATTAATAGTAACAATTTGAAAGAAATTAAATGAATAGTAGTAATAAAAAAATTTGGTATACAATATGTTTAAATAAGATATAATGTTAGTAAGCCAAATTAATAAAATAATAATAATTAAATAAATAAAAATTAAATAGTATTGTAAATAGTAATATGATGAAGTTAATTAGTAATTAATAAAAGAAAATAAATAAATAGTAAAAAATTTAAAAAGTAAAATTGAATAAACAATAATATGATAAAAAAATAATATAATAAAATTAGAATAAATGATTATTATAATAATTATAAGGTATGAAAAGTAAATATTAAAATAGTTTAAATAATTATTTTAATTTAAAAGTTTTGTTAAATAAATTAGCTATACAAATTTTACCTGTAAGGTCTGGTCTGTCCTGTGGTGTTTGCATTGGTAAGAGTTTTGAAGTGATTTTGGGACAAAAAGGATTGCATGTGAAAGTAATAAATATATCTGGCTTTCTGTAAGTTTGTACTAATACTATCGCATCTTGGTAGCATTAGTACATATCTCTAGGACCACCCATGAAGAATGAAGGCAAAACAATACGATGTTCTGTTTTAAATGTGTTGACTAATCCTGATTGAACAGAATCTTGTAATCCTTGATAATATTTCTTATGAATTTTATTTTGGTTAAAACATAAGTAATTAAGACATGCTGACTTAATTTTTATATAATTGTCAACAACATATTGTTGAAAAAGCCATCCACTATGAAATAGCAATGTTAAAGAAGATTCTCGAAAATGTAATTTGTATGAATAATATTGTTTTATAGTTACTTTTTTTGTGATGTGTTTTGTAATATTTCTGGGTGCCAGCCATAATCTCCTCTAGGAAAAAGTAGCAGATATTGTATTGGATCATAATAACCGCTTAGTTCAGATACTCTTTGTAAACCTTGAGACTTCAATTGTACAATTATATCGCGTTTGGTATTATTTATAGGATTATTACCTTCTATCCACACTGCAGCAACTTGTAATACTATAGGCATGTTGTATATATATTGGTCTAAGCCATGATCAGCTTTGATAAAAAGATTTAAGGTCATCAAGTTACTGGTATAAGAAATTGACCTAAAGTTGGTAACAAAGGGATTTAAACAGTCTAATTGTAATTTAATAAATTCTAAAGTATTTTGACTAAGGCATTAGAGCTAATCTATTTGTTGTTTTGAATTTGGTGTCATAAATATATAGTTGGAGAAATTTAGGGATTTCATCAACTGATAAAAGTGATCCTATAGAATGATGAATTCCTCCTTGTACACAGAATGTATAAATTCCATCTTTTCTTATTTAATAAATCAATTTGTGTTTAAATATTATTAAATTATAAATTAATTTGTGCTTAATACATTACTAAGTATTTTCTCTTATTTAAATTTTTAATTATTTACCATTTGCAAGACTTTCATCTAATTTGACACCTATAGAAGTAAATGCGAAAATACTGTTGTATGCTCTAATGTTTTTATTAAAATCTTTCCCCATATCATGATTTCTAGTAAATAAATTTTTTAAAATTGTAGTATTATTTGCTAAAGTTAGCCTATTTTAATAAATTAAATGTTAATACATTATCAATAAAAAATTTTTAACAATATTTAACAACTTACTTAATCTTTCCAGATTCACAACATAATCCTTGTAGTTCAGTTTCAAAGTGTTTGGCATCGCAGTAGATACATGTGTGTATAATATCAAAAATATGATGTTTTGATATAATTGTTTCTTAAAACAATGACCAATATTATGACTATGAACTCGATTTTTTGTCGAAGTTTGTAGTTTTCATGATCTTTGCATTTGAGAGGTGTTTGCAGCTTGACATTCTTCTTTAGTTTGTGGTCGAAGTGTACAAAGAGGTAGCATTTTCTGAACAAATTTTCATTCATAAGTAATTAATATTACTATATTCATAATTTATAGCATAAAATGACTAAATATGATTATTTAATCAATCATTATTTATGCATATATATTTGATTAATTCTTTTTCTTTATGAACTATGCCAGTTAACGTAAAGTTAGGCTTATTTTTATAAAAATTACGTATTTTATTAATAAGCAATATTATTTCAAACATTTGTAATTGTTCATTATATTATATTATTAAATTGAATTACTATAATTTATGTAGTTGTAAATTTTGATATATTTTATACTTTTCATAATTTTGGAACTTTAGTATACAGATACTTTATATACATTAAAAAAAAAAATAAAATAAAATACAATAAAAAAATATAATAAAAATTTCAAAGATAAATCTTTATTGTACAGTAATTCGAGTATAAATACAATAAAAAAAATATAAAAAAAATTTTAAGTTAAATCTTTATTGCACAGTAAATCAAGTATAAATATAATAAAAAAAATATAATAAAAATTCAAAGATAAAACTTTATTGCATAGTAAATTGAGTAAAAATTTATTACAGCAAGTTATTATCTGCTTATTACCAATTATCCAAAAGTCTTCCTATGGACCTAGATTTATGTTTTTTTTTTTTTTTTTTTCTGATAATACTTGTGTCATTATGATTATGCTTATTACAAATAACAGTTCCAAATATAATTACAGATCTTAGTAATATTGTTTAAATCATAAAATTAACAAATTTTTAATTACGTGCTAGTTATTTCAAAATTTCGTTACAATTTTACAATTTAGCAGAAGTCAATAACTTGAATTTCCTTGTACTACAATTTTTGGTTAAAATGTAATACCCAAAAAGTAATTGGTATTACTCGATTTTTACATATTGATGATACAATAAAATAAGATAATCGTAGGAATGTCATAACAATTACTTGAATCATGATCATATAAATGTTGTAACAAATACTTGAATCAAGATAACTGTTATTTGAATACAGATTTTTATATTATGTAAGTTTTCTCACACTCATGCCAAAATTTTTGAATAAGACCAATCAAAAATGTTAAAACCCACAAACCCAGAATTGAGTTATAAAGATTACATCAAAATTATCATCTGGGTAGCTTTACTTAGTAAGTGGGCTATGGTTTCATTAGTAAAATTTTAAGTGATCTTGGGCAAAATTTTATTAGCACCGGTAAAATCTGACCCATAATTCAGGCTGATCATCTGAATTTTTGTTTCTCTGCTAATCTATCCATTGCAATAATTCAAAAAGATTTTTGTATCATATGAAGCTAAGTTTTAATTCATGTGCATAATAATATATGATTTTTACCACATATATTATTGATACGTATATCCAAATTATAGGTTAAGAAAAAAAAACTAAAAATTCAAATTGAAAAATAAAAAAAAACTTTGCAATAAGAAGAATGAGAATAAGCAAGCACAAGCATTCATAAAATCGAAGAGATTGTAACAAATGATAGTAAAAATAAGGATTCTAGAAATTAAAATCAGTGGCCCAGTATAAATTTGTATGCTTTAACGGATATTTAATAATAATTGCTGATTGTCAAAAACTTGAGCAAAAGTAATCTGGTTCATAATCTTTTTAACTTAATTATGACCAGCCATAGTAAGAATTTTCTTTATTCGAACTTCTCTTCTATTTGTTTTGATAGTAATTTAAGTATATTTAATATAAAATACTGGTCATATAAACATCCGTTACCATATCTTAAACATACAAATTATATTATCGGTTTTCATATTACCAACTAACCTTTTGTGATCTTGTGACCTGAATATTAATTTTTTTCTCTAAAAATTTTTTTTAAAAAAAGAAACATTATAAATTTGTTACATAATCATTTCAATTGTATTAGTTTGATTAGTAAGTATAAAGATCATTTATTTTAATTACATTAATTCAACTAGCAAATATAAAGATTATTTGTTAATCTGTAAAATTAAGATCTATAAAACAAGTTTACAAATCAAAATTATAAATACAACTTACCATTATGTACAAATTATTCGTTCACATTGGTTTAGCTAGCAAATTATTTATTAATTAGTATAATTAAAATCGGCAAAACAAGTTTACAGTTTAACAAGTTTACAAGTCAAAATTATAAACACTTACTGCCATATACAAGTTATTTTGTTGTGTTGATTTAGTAGATAAAAAAAAAAAGACAGTGAAATTAAAATTAGCAATCAAGTTCTCAATTTAAGCTCTCAATATTATATCTGAATCATTTCATTCACATTAATTTGGTCAGCATATGTTAACTTTTTCATATTTTCTTATTTAAAATCAAGTTCTAAATTTGATTAAAAATAGATTTGCAAATCCCTTAGTATAAAATTTTTAAGTACTTAAGTTTTATCAATCCACCACATGTCGGAATAATTTACTTCCTCTCTGTAATATTGCGTCATTAATGCTAATCATACAATACCTTTTTCTCTTCTTGACAATAACGTCCTTTTCAATAACACCATTTATTATCTTTATTTCATCATATCTTTTATTATACTGTATATTTAAACTGGCTATCTGCATCTTTGCAATATATATACATAGTAATATTCATATTACCTCTCTACATAATATCTAATTTAAAATTTACCTTTTTGTTACCAAAAATTTGTTCAAGAATAAGTATGAAAATTAATATATATAGATGAGATATAAAAATAATCAAGTATATATGCATCTATTTACCATATATATATCTGAATAAAAAGAATCTATAAATAATACTTCAAAGCCTATTATCATAACTTGATATTAAACTGCTGAAATTTCATGCTAAAAACCTTTATTTAAAAATCAGAAGTTGTCATAGTAAACAAAATTTTGCATACTAGGAACAATGTTGTGAAATGAAGTGTATGGCTTATTGATAAGCAAACCAAAGCAAAATCTTAAAGCTGATTAGAGTATACAGTTGTAAAGATCACAATTTTTTCCATGACACTAATTTTGAAGATCAGTATTCTCATATACAGTATTGGTACAACTGTGTACTAATTTGTTGTGTTCCCTTTTATGGACTATTTTTTGTAATGGCTACTGCATTGTCTTGTTAGATACATTTTTTTTTGGTTAGAATATGATTTTTAATTAGTAATATATAATGAAAATAATATACATATATATTATATACATGCAAAATTAACAAACTTCATATACTAGGAACTGGAACCCAGTTTAAGGCCGGATCTTATTATTGTTAAATTACACAAATGCATAAATGTGCATAATTTTTTTATATAATATACAAATATAGACACATGGCATTACAAACAGAAAATGCTGAAACACTTTTTTGATCTTTTTATCATCCTTACAAAACAGTTCGGTGAGATAACACATCTCTTTGCATAAACTTTGCTAACTTTGACTAAGTGGTTAATATTTCCTGTCATTTTTAGCATCCATGTCTTGCAAGTTTGTGATATCTCTTGTGATTTGAGCACGTGTATTATGCAGCTCACATACAACCCACAAGTTTCAGCCTTATTTTATTAATACATATTATAAATATACATATAACCATACATAATAATAGTGCTTTGTTTATAAAATATATATACGTCTGCATGTGCATGATAATATACAATCTACATTCACATATATTATGTATGTATATATATCCAAAAATTATAAATCAAAAGGAAAGCTAAAGAAAGCTAAAAGACACCACAAAAATAAAAAGAAAACATCACAGAAAAACAAGCATGCACACTCATAAAATTGGAGAGTGATAACAAATGATAATAAAAATAAAGATTTTAGATAAAAAATCGGTAGTCTAATATAAATTTGTATGCTTCTTTGACAGATATTTAATAATTTTTATTTTTTTTCATCAGATTTTTTATTAGACTGATAAAATGATAATCACTGTTTGGCAAAGACTTGAGTGAAAGTATTTGTTATATTTCTAATTGCATAATGATCACTGGACCAATATGATGTTTGTCTACTTTTAAAAAACCTAATTCATACATTATAATCTTTTAGCTTAATTATGATTAGAGGTGGTAAAAATTTCTTTATTCGAACTTCTTCTATTTATTTTAATAATGATT